TTTTTGTATTTTTAGTAGAGATGGGGTTTCACCACTTTGGCCAGGCTGGTCTCAAACTCCTGATCTCAGGTGATCTGCCCACCTTGACCTCCCAAAGTGCTGGGGTCAAGGCTAAGCCACCGCGCCCGGCTGATTCATTAGCTTTATTACTGTATTTTGTTTCGTCCAAAAGTCCAAAATCAGAAACCAGTGTTGTTTTACGATTTGTCTTTTAAGAACTGAGAGTTTCTAGCACTCAGAGAAATTGGATTTTTGTATGTTAGAGATGCAGGAAATTTATTAGTTCATAGTATACTTTTATGTTCCTCAAATTGAGATCAAGTACTTCATCATTAAATTTTTATTTGCTTAAGATTTTTTCCAAGAAACATTAAGTGCCCTTTGTGGTAGTTTCCCCTTATCTACAGTTTCAGTTACCTTCGGTCAACCACGGTCTGAAAATATTAAATGAAAAGTTTCAGAAATAAACAATTCATAAGTTTTGTTTTGTTTTGTTTTGGGGGCCTTTTTGTTGTTGTTTTGTTTTGTTGTTTTTTTGAGATGGAGTTTCGCTCGTTGCACAGGCTGAAGTGCAATGGCGCAATATCCGCTCACTGCAAACTCCGCCTGCCAGACTCAAGCGATTGTCCTGCCTCAGCCTCCCAAGTAGTTAGGATTATGGGCATGCGCCACTACGCCCAGCTAATTTTGTATTTTTAGTAGAACCAGGGTTTCACCAGGCTGGTCAGGCTGGTCTCAAACTACCGACCTCTGGTGATCCACCCATCTCGGCCTCCCAAAGTACTGGGATTACAGGTGTTAGCCACCTCGCCCCATCTCAGAAGTTTTAAATTGAGTACTGTTCTAACTAGCTGTGATAAAATCTCTGCCATCCCACACTGTCCTTTTGAGATGTGAATCATCCGTTTGTACAGTGTATCCGCTATAACCTCCTTAATGACTTAGTAGCAGTCTCATCAGATAGACTGTGGCAATGTGCAGTATCCAAGTGCTTGTGTTCAACTAACCCTTATTTTCCTTAATAAAGGCCTCAAGGCCGGGCCCGGTGGCTCACGCCTGTAATCCCAGCACTTTGGGAGGCCGAGGCGGGTGGATCACGAGGTCAAGAGATCGAGACCATCCTGGTCAACACGGTGAAACCTCGTCTC